TGGCAGACCCGGCCTGGGCCGCATGGGCGCTGGGCACGCGGGGTGGCGCAGGGCGCAGGGCGCGGGCGCCTCGGTGCCTTGTTGAAGTCTTCGTTTCGCAGAGTGTCTGTCATTGAGCGTCTGTTGGTGGCACAGGGGGCGGGGGGCTCCCTGCGCTGTGCGGCTTGGGGTCCCCGACACCGCTTTCCGGCAGCCGGGGGTGGGGTGAGGGCGATGCGCGGGAGTTGGGAGCCCCGCACCTGTGAGCATCCTCTGGCAGTGTCTGAGCCTGGGTGGCTGCGCGGGGAGTTGTTTACCTGGCGGTGACCGTGAGCGCGCGGGTGAGCCTGGGGTCTGGAGAGCCGGCTGGTGGTGCCGGGCGTGTGTCTGGTGTGGCAGCGCGTGTGTGTGCGCGGGCGCCCCAGCGAGCTGGCTGGTTCGGGGCTAGGGCTGCGCTGCTGTGGGTCTGCACGCCCTGTGTGCGTGCCGGGGTGCCGGGACGCTGGGGCGCCCCGCTGATTGCAGCAGCGTGCCAGTCGGGGTTTGCTGGGTGTGCGTTGCGGGGGTTACCGTGGTGTGTGTCCGTGGGTGAATGTTTGTGCGCAGATGGCAAAGTGATGAAAAGCCCCATGTGCCTGCCAAGGCTGGCTGCAAAGGGATTTGGCATGGGCAGTGGCGCGGCGGCCCGGGCGGGTGGGGGAGGCAGGTGGCAGGCTGGCAGCTGGCTGCCTGGGTGGGGATTTCCATCCCTGCTGGGGTTGCTTCGGGGGGCAGCGGGGGAGATGCAGCAGGGCGCGAGGGTGGTGGGTGCTGCCCGGCGGGCAGAGCCCAGCTCTTTCGTACTGTCTCCCTCCCTCCAGGCCCAGGGCCCCGGCCAGTGCCCAGCCCTGCTGGGAGCCCCGGCCAGCACCACGGACGGCACCCAGGAAGCCCGAGTCCCCCTGGACGGGGCCTTCTGGATTCCGAGGCCCCCCGCAGGCTCGCCCAAGGGCTGCTTCGCCTGCGTGTCCAAACCCCCGGCACTGCAGGCGCCAGCGGCCCCTGAGCCCTCGGCCTCACCCCCCATGGCGCCCACTCTGTTCCCCATGGAGTCCAAGAGCAGCAAGACAGACAGTGTGCGGGCTGCCGGCGCCCCCCCAGCCTGCAAGCACTTGGCCGAGAAGAAGACCATGACAAACCCCACGACGGTCATCGAGGTCTACCCAGACACCACTGAGGTGAACGACTACTACCTGTGGTCCATCTTCAACTTTGTCTACCTCAACTTCTGCTGCCTGGGCTTCATCGCCTTGGCCTACTCCCTCAAGGTGAGCCTGGGAAGTGGCAGAGGGTGGGGACCAGGCCCGGGGTGGGGGTGCTGTGGGCATCGCTCTGCCCCTCCCTCTCAGAGCAGCCCACGGTAGAGCAGGTGCAGTTGAGGGGCTCAGGGATATGTGTGGGATCCAGAGAGACAGGGGTGTTGGCTAGGTCTGGGCCAGCGGGGAGGGCTGGCCTTCCCTTTCCCGAGCTGAGGATGCTTCTGGGTGACTTGGCAGGGCTCAGGGTCATCAGGGCCAGGGGCTCTGCACAATCAGCTTAGGAGGGGTCATGGGACGGGGGGAGACTCAGGGCTCAGAGTCCCATTTTCTGTCTAGGGGATGTGGGAGTTAGGCCTGGACAGCAGCCACCCCTAGGATATGGGTGGAGCCGGCGTGGTGCTGGAGAGGCTAGGGACTATTCTGTAGAAAGCAGGAGGTGAAGCCAGGCCCTCCCCGAGACTTTATCTAAGCCTCTCTCCGGGAACCCGGTGCCAGCTGCTCTTGCACACACAGCCAGATACGTAGTGGGAGGCCCACCCTGCACCCTGGGTGGGCACAATTCTAGAAGCCCTTCAGTGCCGTGAGAGGAGCTGGCTGGGAGCACAGCAGGGTGCCAGGCAGGCGGATCCCCATTCTCTCTGAGGCCAAAGCAGAGAGAAGTGGACTGAGATTGCATGGGAGAGGCTGAGGGGGTTTCCGTTTAGGGCTGGGCGTCCCCTGGGTGAATGTGGGAGGGCTGCACAGCCCTGGGCTATTGGAGCCCAACGGGTGGGGGGAGGAGGGGGAAGGGACTCGGTGCCCTCCTCCCTACCCTGCCACTCTGGAAGGACGAACCTAGCTCACATTTAGCCAGATCATCACTTTTCTCCCAAGCCCAGACTTGAATGGCCAAGGCCAGATGCACTCCACTGATTACAGCGGCCCAGCCAGGGACAGGGTGGCAGGTGGGGATACGGGGGCTGCAGAGAGAGAAGGAGCTGGGGCAGAGGCTGACCTGAGAGGAAGGACGTGGGGACAGCTCCACCCCTGCTCCACACCCTGGCCCACCATCACACACCTGGCCACCTGCTCCCAGCCCTCCTGACTCAGCAGCACCCTGTCCCCCCCTCCATACCTCCTTCAGGCCTGCGCACTGAGCCCTGGGCTCCCCCATGCACCATCACACACCTGGCCACCTGCTCCCAGCCCTCCTGACTCAGCAGCACCCTGTCCCCCCCCTCCATACCTCCTTCAGGCCTGCGCACTGAGCCCTGGGCTCCCCCATGCGGGGCCTGTGTCTGTGAGTGTGCACGTGAGTGTGTGTACATATGTGTGTGCATGTGTGAGCATAATTCTCTACATTTGTGTGAGTACATATGTGTGAAGGTGTGGGTGAGTATAATTGAGTGTGTGCACGTGAGTGTATTGTGTGTGCATGCACGTGTGTATGTGTACAGGTGTGTGTGCATAAGAGTGTGGATGTGTGGGTGTGAATGTAATTGCATACATGTGCATGTGTGTGCATCTGTGTGTTACATGAATGCATGTGAACGATCATGTGTGTGAATGCATGTGTGCGTGAGTATATATACAGATGTGCAAGTGTGTGCATGTGGGTGTGGGGCCATGCATGTGATTAAGTGTTATGAGTGTATTGTGTGTGGAGGTGCACGAGTGTAACTGCGTGTGTGTGAATGTGCACACGTGGGTGCATGTATGTGTGCATGTGAGTGTGTGTGTGAAGTGCAAATGTGTGTATGAGTGTGTGCACGTGTGTTTGTACATGAGTGTGTGTGCATGTGCTGAGCAAAGGGAGGGGTCCCTGGGGATGGGGGCACAAGCATCCAGACCAGCCTCTACCTCAGCTCCGCAGGTCAATGCCGAGCAGAGGGCATGGCTGGGTGGCAGCGGAAACCGCGCTGGCAGAGTTCTGCCTCCTGGGTGCCCTCTTGCTGGGCCCTGCCAACACCCGCAGACGTGGTCTGGCTGCCTGGGCTCCTGCCCGAAAGCTGTCCCCTCCTCCCCCTTGGCTCAGGCTGTGGCAGGCTGGCATGGGCAGGTCCATCTGGTGCAGGTTGTAGGTAGGTCAGGCATTTCTGGATGGTGCCGGATTCATGCTGGGCAGGGGGTGGTATGAGGTTGGTGCTTCTGAGGCGCAGAGCACACTCACTATGCCTCTCTCCAGGGCTGCTCCTCCTGTGTCCTTCCTGGAGGCAGTGAGGACAGAAAGGCTTTGGGGCTTACCTGGGAGGGGGGTGCGAGGTGAGCTGCCTCTGTCCCAGACAGCCAGAAGGACAGAACTGGCTGGTGCCAGCTCCCATGCAAGGCATCCATGCACCTGTCCCTCCAGCTGCATGTCTCCTGACGGGCTGCACTTCATACCATGTGCAACCAGGCAGGGGCACCTCCAAGGGCACTGGACGGACTGAGGGTCAGAAGGTTTGGCTAAATCTCAGCTTTGGGGACAGGCAAGCTCCCTTACCACACTGGGCCCTGCTCCCTCATCTGTGCACAAAACAAATGGAAACAAAATGACATCCAATCCAGCACACATGAGTGGGGCAGGGCTGCCATTCAGTGGGACACACTGTGCCCTGCCCACCCCACTCTGTCCATTCACCCACATGGCCAGCTCCATCCAGCGCAGGCTGGGTCTGCAGCACAGACTGCAGCCTATTCTGTTCGGCCCAGTGTCCGAGCCAGGCAGAGACAGCTCATCAATTCTCCATTCATGCAGCCTCCACAGGCTGCCTTGCGATGAGCGCTGGCCCCCCTTTTTAGCAGGAGAATTTCCAGACTTCTCAGCTTGGCATTCAGGGCCCTTTCAGACCCACTTTCAACCCTTTACCTGGCCTCACCCAGCACCCCTGCCCCAGGCATCCTGCAGTGCACCGTGAGCCACACGCACAGTTGGATTCTCTTCCCTCAGCCTGGAGAGCTGTTGTGAGATCCATGGTGCTCTTTTGTGAAGGCTTCAAAGGCTCTGCTGCCCCAGTTATGTCTCCCTAACCCCCCAGAACCATCCTTTCATCTTGGTGTTGGCAGTGCCCAGGGCAGGCTGACTTACATAGGGCTCTAAGAATGTTGGTCGAATGGGTGGATGGACAGAGGACATGTGGCTGGATGGACTAAGCATCTCGGTGTTTCAGGAAAGGAAAGCTTCAGTCCCAGCTTGAGTGCGGTTGAGGGTCAGGAGTGGGAAACTCCTGGGAGGAGGGGGCATTGTCACTGGGCATTGAAGCACAGGTGAGGGAGGGGCTCCAGATGGAGAAAACAGCACAAACCAAGACACAAAGGTGGGCAATTTGGGGAGATCAGCAAGGCCCCGTCCTCTGTGGGGAGAAGGAAACAGGCCTGGAAAGACGACTGAAGCCATGCTGTGAAGGATTTGGAAAAACAAGTGAGGGGTTTGGATTTCATCATGTGGAAGACATAGAAGAGAAAGATATGGTCAGAGCTGTAAAATCTGCAGCCAGTGTGGAGGAAGGAGAGAAGAAAAGCTTAGAGGCAGAAAGGAGTTAGGTCCCAGCTTGGTGGCCTGACTGCAAGAGCGTGTGGCTTGAGCTAGGGCAGGGATGGAGGTCAGGAGAGGGGCAGCAGATGTAGCCAGGTCGTGGCAGCTGCTTGATCTGAGCCCAGCAGGCTTTTAGACTTCTCAGTGATGGAGAAGTCAGAAAGAATAGATTAGCGGGGAGGTCTGTATAAGTTTTTATATTTCCATATGTGCCCACTCCCTTCTTTCTGGATACCAGCACTTTTCCTCCATCTGTACATACATCCATCTGCCCATCCATGTAAACATCCATCCATCCATCCACCATCCATCCACCATCCACCCACCCATCCATCCACCATCCATCCATCCATCCATCCATCCATCCATCCACCATCCATCCACCATCCACATCCATCCATCCATCCATCCATCCATCCATCCATCCATCCATCCATCCATCCATCCATCCATCCATCCATCCATCCATCCATCCATCCATCCATCCATCCATCCATCCATCCATCCATCCATCCATCCATCCATCCATCCATCCATCCATCCATCCATCCATCCATCCATCCATCCATCCATCCATCCATCCATCCATCCATCCATCCATCCATCCATCCATCCATCCATCCATCCATCCATCCATCCATCCATCCATCCATCCATCCATCCATCCATCCATCCATCCATCCATCCATCCATCCATCCATCCATCCATCCATCCATCCATCCATCCATCATCCACCCATCCATCCATACACCCATCCACCCACCCATCCATCCACCCACCCATCTATCCACTCACCCATCCATCCATCCATATGTCCATTGATCCACCCATCTATCCACCATCCACCCACCCATCCATCCACCATCTATCCATCCATCCATCCACCCATCCACCCATCCACCCATCCGTCCATCCACCCATCCGTCCATCCACCCATCCATCCATCCACCCATCCACCCATCCAGCCATCCATCCATCCACCCATCCATCCACCCATCCATCCATCCATCCATCCATACACCCACCCATCTATCCACTCACCCATCCATCCATCCATCTGTCCATTGATCCACCCATCTACCCACCCATTCACCCATCCATCCATACACCCATCCAAAGAGCCACGTGACCCTCCATTCATCCATGTTTGTACACAGTCCTTTATGATTCTTCCTCCTTCTCCCGCTCCCCTATCCTACCCCCACCAACCTCATCCATCAATCCACTACACTAATCTTCTAACCCCACTTCTCAGTAAGTTTCCCTGCTTTACTTACCAGCCCTACCTGTCAATACACCATCCATCCTTTGGCCCGACATGTTGACACATTGTATTAGTCCATTTTGTGTTGCTTATAACAAAATACCCGAGACTGGGTGATTTATAAAGAAAAACGACATTTATTGTTTACAGCTTCTGAGGCTGGGAAGTCCAAAGTTCATCTGGTGGTGGTGACAGTGACCCAGGGGTCTCATGTTGCAAGATGGTGGAAGCAGAGAGAGCAGAAAGAGAGG